GAAGAACCACTGAGCACTTCCATGTCTTAGGTACTTTCATAAAGACTTTCTTTTAAATCTTAACAGAATAGCAAGTAAGATTTCTTCACTTTATAAATGAGTAAAACAAGATCCTAACTTGCCAATGGTCAAATAGCAGTGGTACCAACAGTTAAAGCCATTTCAGGTTGTCTTGTTTGGCTCTAATCACTGCAAACTGATAACCTAGGGGCCATAAGCCTAACACAGGGCTCAGATTCACTTTTTCAGTTATTTAAAACTACTTACGTAGCCCTACAAGGACACACTATTTGTCTACAAGTACTGGGGCTTTGTACCTTTTGTACTGTCTGGATTACTTTCCAGAGCATAAGAACTGTTTTCCAATATTGTCATGTTGGAAGAGGCCCCAAATGGATAAACATTTTCTAATAATAAAGTCATTTTTTTCCCAGAAATATCAATAGTCAGGTAAACAAATTTATTAAATCCAACAGCAGGTAATCTTCCAAATAAAAAAAAAGACATTAGGAAAAAAATGTAGACATCAAAGACAAACGTGTGTAACAAGTTAATAAAAATATTCAAGGGGCCATTTGGAGTGTGCAACAGTGCAGTGAATACAAACCAAAGAATTAACTTTTGTCAAGTTTGTACAACCTCATGAAATAGATACACTGATCACAAACTAAGAGGGATCCACAAAGGTGGAGGGTCACATGAGCAGTGGACTCATCACCTCAGCGGCTTAAGGCAGGATATGTGTAGGACCAATCCATCCAAGCCCTATTTGCCTATTGCTTCAAATTCCCTCTATAAAACCTAGAATCATAGTCATTAGTGCAACAGGTAAGAGCAGTTAACCACACAATAAGGGCCCAGGACCAAAGTCAAAGGGAAGACATTTCTTCCAGGGTATATGTATTGGGGGAAGAGGGCACAGCAGCTGCTAAATGGCTTCCTTTGGCAATATCCAAGATGTGAAAGCAGGAAAGAATGGTAGATGGTGGAAGTAGGTACCTATAAGAGCAGAGCACACTGGCTTTCCAAGAAAAAAGGGAGAATATGATTCCCTAGCACCTGAATAAGAAGCAAAACTTGGTGTTTCCTCAAAGCTATTCCAACCCTCCTGGCTTCTGCAAACAGTGTTGGGATAGTTTCAGTTTACTCTGTCTTTAAAAAAAGAGGAAATCTTGCCAATTTTAACAAAAATATAGTCCCAGTTCAAGGCCAGATATGCTGTAATTAAGCCTCCAAAGGGCATAAATTCTAAAGGGGGAACAGTGGGATTCCTCTCTGACCCAGAAGAGACTGGGAATAAAAGGAGGGTCAATGTCACATTCTTAGATGGGTCCTATTGAACACATCCCATTAACTGTAATAGTCCTTTCAGCCATTTAAAAAAATATTGCCAGAGTCCTCCAAGGAAGACCTTTGTCAGTTACCAAGATGTTTAAATTCAAGTCTACCAAGGAAGACCTTTGTCAGTTACCAAGATATTCAAGTCATAAACCAAACATAACAGACTCAAGAAAAGCAGCAAAGCAAGCAACCGAAGGGGAAAAACAATGCAAAGTAACAACAAACCCTAACAGCAGCTTTCTCCAAGTCCTTATTAACTGTACAGTTCAGTCTACTTTGAGGCTCTCTGCTGCACTGAAGGCCCTATGATATACAGCAAACCAAACAGTCCCAAATATAGATGTTTGTAAACTTTTAGACAAGTCTTTATCCCAGTAACATCCCATCACTATTCAGTACAATTTGGCATTACTACACAGTGTATGAAGCTATCAAGCGAACTATGGGGTCCCAACACCCTCCAGCCTATAGCCCTGAGGACTAAATTTTGGTACCAGCCTCTGGGCCATCAATACTATTTCAGACTAATACTGTGTGCCTTAATCCCATCTTCCTTTACAAGGTGACTGGTTTGTACTCATCTTGAGTTCAACATGTTGCTGTCAGTTTGAACTCCTGGTGGTACATGTGACAGTCTCATTGGCTATACAAGCCAACCAATGGGATAGTCATGCATGTACAGCCCCATTAACATGATAAACATGTTAATATTGAAAATATTGCCTCATATAGTTCAACTGCATTTCTCTGGACCTGGAAGTCTGGTTGAAAGTTGGATCTTTCTTTTGGGGGGAGATGCCATACTGGGAATCAAACTCAGGACCTCATGCTTACCATGCAGGCGCTGTGTCCCTGAGCTATTACCCCAGCTCCTAAAATTTCAATCTTTAGCCAGCTCTATCTAGGTTTTTGTTTTCCTTATCAGAAGCGTACCGAATGGGTTTCTGGGCCCAAATCTCATAGGTGGGCACATTTGGTAGGATGTGGGGAGAGCCACAGAGGCAACCAAAGCATAACAAAGTGTCATTACAAGAGGTAAAGAATGATACATCCAAATTGGGCAAAGATAGGGTTTAATGAAGTACTTACTTCATCTCATACCAGCTTGCTAATAAGCTGCTAAAAAAAAAAAAAAAAAAAAAAAATCCAACCCAGAAAAACCCCACTACATCTCACAGAGCCACTGACCACAACTCAGCAATCTAACGTACTCCACTTGTTAGAGGCACTCTGATGTTGCAGGTGTTCAAAGTGGTATCCATAACCTGCCCCTCTCCATGTACGCCCTGGTAGTAGGATGCTGAAGTGAGAGGTGGGTGGGCTTACTACAGGGGCAAGCACTTGGTCCCCCCAACAGAACTTCTGCCTGCTCGGCCTTTAAGCAGTAAACCCATTTCTAGGCTGACAGGTCTTTCATTTCCCAGAAGTGTGAACACAAACCCCACACCCATCTCATCTTGGATCTCTTGGCAGAAAAATTGCTTTTCTGTGGTTATGAGAGTCAAGCACTGGCCCCGAGCTACTGCAGTTTGAGGTCCTTGCTCAGTATCAAGGCCTTCAAACCTAGAAGTAAGTTTCTGTCTGACTGCTCTGCTTCTCAACAAATGGATCATTAAAAAAAACCCAAAGTAATTTCTAACTGGCTTTTTTAAGTGGGGAAGTTAAACAGTTAAAAAAACCAAAATCCACTCTAATAAATGTGATGCATGGAATGCAAACCTAGCAGCAGGACAAAGAATCTAGTTCAAGTTCTTGAGGTCCTTCGTGGCTCCTTTTGTGTACTTCATTCAACCTCTACTCATTCCAGAACTAGGAAGACCTGGAGTCACAGACCGGCTGGATGATAGGTGGTGCCTTTAAGAACTCTGTCTGGGTACCGTACCTAGAGATGAACCCACAGAACTTGCTGGGCCCTGGAGACTCTTATGCAAGGACCTTGGGTCTTATTTAGAAAAAAAAAAAAAAAAAATACTATGGCTGACTTTAAAGTTATTCAACTGCCCAACTAGAAAGAACAACTTTTCAGCTTTCAAATTAATGATGAAAATCAAATTCCACATATGTTTCCCATGTGAATGAGTTTTAGAAAACTTATGTCAATACCCTAAATAATCATCTTTGTGCAGATGAGAGCCTGGACTTTTAAGGCTTCTGATCGAGGGACTTAACATGTAAGAGCATCAGCAGCTATGTATTTTTATTTTAGGAGATTCCCTTTTTAACCTGTTCCAAAGTGCTGGAAGCTGAACTGGATAGCTCCTTCCATCTACTCTTCTGAACCAGGTAGGATGAGCACCAGCTCCTCAGGCCCGGGGGCAATTGGCCAAAGCTGGCCAGAAGAGCAAGTGCATGGACGAGTCTGAGGAGCTGGGCCCTTTCCCAGAGGAGAGGGCTTGGCAAATTCCTATTCTTTTAGAGTGAAAACAGTCCAAATTCAGGTATGAAAGCCTCCACTATGATGTTCCCTGGCACACTTCTTCCATGTTAGGTACTGAAGGCAGCTCCCTCTTTATGGCCAGTTTTAGCAGGCAAAGAAACAAAGGAATATAGATACATATATGTGTGTATATATATATTTTATATAGGTAAAATATATACATATTTTATATATGTATATATACATATCTGGGGGTAGGGAAAGGACAAGGAGGGTCATGTAAACCTAAACAGTCATCACGTTACCCCAAATGAGCCTGACATTAACAGAAAGATAATAAATAACTCCTAGGGGCTAAGTGACAACATGGGTGCAGCAAGAAGGGAAAGGGCACACATTTAACTATTAAATACACTTCGATATTTGTTTGGCAGAGTCCAGACTTCTGCACTTGCCAGACAAGTAAGCTGATGATACTCAAAGAAAAATAATTAAAAACAAAATTCAAGCAGAGCTCCATACCACAGTTTTCTTTCAAGTTGGCTGGCCGGCAGGCAGTTTTCCGACCACCAGGAACAGAAACTTTGGCTCCAAGGCAAATGAAAAAGGAAGTTCTTTCCACTTAAAACATGAAAATACAGAAACTTCATCAAAGAAAGAAAAATATCAAAGAAGTGTACTTCCAGCAAAACTGAGGTAGCACTGCTTTCTCTGCATTCAATGCTTAAGTGGTTCTCAGTATAATGTGTTCTAAAAAAAAATAAAACTGCTCACTTGACTGACAGGTGCAGCATGTTGATGGATAAACGCAACATGAAATGCAATAGGTCAAAGAAGGAATGAGCAAGAAGTGAGGGAAAACAAGAATTTTGGATAAATTAGCTTAAAAGGGGGCTGTCACCAGACTGTAAATGCTCTTGGCTGGCCTCGGCTCTCCAAGAGTGCCAAATCGTCTGGGAATTAATGCAAAGTGGTTAACATTAACACTGCTATTCAAACCTGCGTAAATCTTTAAAAATAATTATTACAACCTAAATTCAACCATGTAAACAGCACTACACACAGTACAGACCTGCCCTGAAAAACAATATGCAAAACTGAGATCTGGCACTGTATCATTTTGTAATGTTAAGTCAACCTAACAGTCCCATTCTCCCCACCTGGCTCTACGTCCTCCCCCACCAGAAAGAAAAAAAAAAAAAATCTAATTTTGTGCAAGAAATGGCAGGCAATCCCCAGTTTCACCAAAAAAAAAAAAAAAAAAAAAAAAAAAAAAGCACAACATGTAGTCTGGTTCAAATATTTTGAGGGGTACCCCCAAAGGAAATAACCAAAATAACCAAAAAATGAAGAAAGTGCCTAAAACATGATACAGCATTTTAGAGCCCTTTCAGATACAAGGCAGAGAAAGGTGTGAAGTAGAAAATATCCGGATCTTCAGTAATTTCCACAAAGGTCCAACTCCTTGCTTAGGGGTGGGCAGCCCCTTGCTGCTGCTCCTGGGACAGCGCCACTAAGTGTGCTCCTCGGGACACAAGCCCTCGGGCCCTGAGCTGAGTGCGCCTCTCCCCTCCCCTTCCTTTTTCCTGCGTTCCATTTCCCACTCCACAAAGGTGTCAAAGAGACTGGGCCACGCCTCATCTTCACTGTAGTTGCTGAGGTCAGGACCTATCACCTGAGTGAAGTTAAGGAACATGTTCCAGGTGTCCCGGGAGATGCCCTTGACCCCCGATGGGTTCTCTGTTAAGAAGTGGAGCCACTGGCCCAGCACAGGGGGGCTGTTCTGGGTGAAGACAAGTTTCCACAGGGCAATGGCGATGTCCCGGTGCAGAGACCGCTGGCCTTCCTCAGCATCCAGGCCAAACTGGAACGTGAACCGGTAGAGATCCTTGAATTTGTCCTCCTGTCTGGCTTCAGTCAAGAGGCCAGGGAATCGTGCGCAGATCCCGTCAATGCTGTCGGCACGTATTGCTTTGCAGCCATCAAAAAACTCCTTCCTGCAACAGGAAGAAGGGGGAAAAATTCATAATTGTTGGTTACATCATTTAGTGAGAGGCAAGAGGTAACAGATTATGAGCAGGGCTTCGAGGCCCTCAGGCCTGAGCTAGAATTCCCACTCTTCTACTGAGCAGCTTCATCCCTCCATTTGTCACACAGTGAGGGACCACCTTCTTGAGGCCCCAAGAGGCCTGCACAACAGATACAGTGCTAGCTCCTGTGTTTGGCGCAGGGAGGGCAGCTTATAACGGCTCATTCCTCCATTCACCTTCCCAAACTAAACCCAGGATTCCTGCTCTGTGGCCTAGTAATTTCTACACTGCACAGAGACCAAGCTGTGCTTTCTTTTCCCAGTCTGATTCTCTATGAGTTGGTTTTGGTATGTTTTTGGTGACTAGACTAAGGGAGTCTTAGAGCCAAAGATTCTGGACAAACTTTGCCAATTCTACCACCAGACAGCAGAGTTCTGTTATTAAAAAGCAAACATTACATTATATATTTTAACACCTGTACAACTCCTCCTGTTCACAACAGTCTCAAGAGGTGTTAGGGTCTCTGATCCTGCAGGGCAAGCTATTCAGGGGCCATGTAAACCATACACTGCTCAGCTGGGTCTCGTGGGCAGCTCTTATCCATCCCTGTACTCTGCAGATCACATCTTGGATTTCGCTACTGTCACTCACAAATAATCTCGATCAGAACTCATGGCCATGACAGTAAGTACAGCTACTGCTTGGCAGGCCTGGCTGATGAAGAACTAGAAGGAACTGGCTTTACAGAGTGACACAGGCATACTTCCTGAGACCACTGGACTGGAGTGTTCAGTGCCTTTGCACACGACAGGAATACAATAAACATGTAGTCCTAAGGATTCACAAGAAAAATAAGGTCTAAAATTGCAGTGGAGCTGAGCAGCAGAGCTTGGTGCATTTTACACTGTTCCTCATTTAACTTCAGGAAAAAATGTCTGGTGCCCGGATACAAGCTGCCTGGCAATACCATTTCAAATCTGATCTAAAATTTAGGTAAAGGTGTTCTCTGAAGAGAAATGTGCAGTACATATCAGAAAAAGGAAGCTTTATAAAAACGAAAGTGCCTGATCCTGACCCAAGAGTCTTATTCTGTAGGTGTGCTGTACCACCAGGTATGTTTTCCAACCTTTAGAAAGAAAGGGGAGGAGGGAGTCCCTCTGGGTCAGAAGAACCACAGTGTTCTTTCCTCCTCTGCTCACCTGCTGGTATGAAGTGTTTGTGACTAACCTGGTGAATTTGCACATGGTAGCAGCCTGGAACTTCCAAGCCAAAAGCAGCACTCGAAATTCCGTGGGGTCAACACATAGGTCATTGCAAAAGCGTTCCATGCCTTCCTCCAAAATTGCATCCTCCCGCTCGTCCTTGTAGCGCCTGAACAGTTCCTCCAACCTCTGCAAGGAAGACTCCTCAGTGTTGGACTTGGACTCCCTCCCAGCGTCTCCCGAGGATGTTGGCAGCTGGCAGGCCTCAATGGCAGCCTCTGCTTTCTTGGTCCCATTGACAAGAATGTCTCCACCTGGCTTGCCACAGGGTGGCACTTGTTCCTCACGGTGGCCTGCCCCTCGCCTACTGTGTGACTTGCTGCTAGGGTCCCGGTCTCCATTCTTGCTGCCCAGGGTTGAGGAGGGATTCTTGCACTTGGTGACACACTGGCCCATGGTGGTGGTGGGCTGGCTTCTAGAGCGGCCCCCTCTGGGTCAGATGCCCTCGCTGCCACTGGCCCATGTACCTCAACATGCCATCAGCCAGAGGAGCCAGCCAACCTGGAAGAAATGAAAAAGTGGTCACTTCTGGATAGGGTGGTGGGATAAGAACGCGATCCTACAGGAAATGCACACTGGTGACTAATCTGCCTCGGTGAGCTGGTACTTAGTCAAGGGAGATACAGTGAGCCCTTTCTTTACTGTCCCCCTTGTGAGCCAGCTCTGTAAGTTCCCAGGGAGAAGCAGCAGCTGGGGCGCACAGGGAAAACCAAAAGGAAATTCCTAAATTTTTAAGGTAATATAGGTTACAAAGAAGCATCAGAGAATACAGTTCTGAAAGAAATGATCCAGAGGAAACTGGCATCAGAGAAGAAAGTTACATGGATCTAGCTTAAGCTACAAAGTACAAATATAAAGTTCATCTTCTAGTTCCTGATATCAACACTGTCAGATTTTTTTTTAAACAAAAATGGCAACTGGGCATGTTAGTGCAGGCCTATAATCCCAACACTTGGGAAGCTAAGGCAGGAGAACTGCCACAAGTTCAAGGCCAGACTGGGCTACAGTTACTTCAAGGCCAGCCTGAATTACAGAGCAAGACTTGCCTTAAAAAAACAAAAGAAGGGCATGCTGAGATGGTGACTGATTGAGACTGGGCAGGTGGCGTGCGCCAGTAATCCCAGCTCTTGGGAGGCTATAAACTGTTGGATCACTATGAGTCCAATCTAGTAGTGAGATCTTGAACACCCTGTAGACCCTTCCCTAAAATACAAAAAGAAGGAAAGAAAGAAAGAAAAAAAAAAGAAAGAAAAGAAAGATGAATAGAAAGAAGAATGGCTTTAGAAGGTCTTATATAAGACAAGTATATAATTTTATAATGGTCAAAGGATGTTCAGTGTGTCAAGACTACAGCCAAGGACCTAGCCAAACAGCAAAGTGAAATTCTGGCCTATCCTGTAGTACCCTTTCTCTGCCCCATTCCACTCACCTGCAGAAGCCATCCACCAAAGCCCGTATTTCTAGCAGTTTCCTAATAAAGTAATATATCTTTTTTGTTCTCTTTTCAGGTCTGTAGCACAGCTGTACATAGAAAGCAAGCCAAGTTCACACTAAATATGATTTTCCTGTAGGACATACAGCCAGTCTTCTACTTTAAATAGATACAGTGGTACAAGCCTATAACCCTGACTACTGGGGTTGAAGATCAAGAATTTGAGGCCAGCCTGGGCAATTTAGCAAGATCCCATCTCAAAAATATAAAAAGGGCTGGAGACACACAGAGCAGTGGTAGAACACTGGCATAAAGCCCTGGGTTCACTCCCTAGTACTACAAAAAGATGCATGGAGGGGGGGGGCTGTTTTACCTATACAATATCAGTATGTAACAAGTTCATCCTGGAGATTTATGAATTGCTTATTATAACTAAGTTTTTAAATGAATTGCTAGAAATTTCTGAGCCAAAGAGAAGGTAATTTCTTTAACTATATTGTCTATTCAGGACTTCTTCAACTAGTTTACCAGAAAATTCATTTTCACAGTGCCGTTCTTGCAAAATGCCAGCTGCTAGAATAATGGCAGTCACTATTAACAGAAATGTAGACAGGAGCCAGAAGTATTGTAAGGGAGGCAGACACTAGATGAAATCAAAGTCAGTCCTACCTGGGCCCTCCCCATTTCTAGGGAGCTTTCCACAGGCCTTTGTGGTATAAATTTAAAGCTCTTAAAGAATCTGGCAGTGTGGCAAAGGGTGTTGTTTTTTTTTTTTACAAAAATTTGAGACTTTAAACTTTGCCTTAAAAACTCAGTTCCTTCCAAATAGTGCCAAGATGAACCAAGATTTATCTTCAGCACAAATCTTCTTCAAAGGTAAGCTCTGAGTGTACACCAAGTTTACAATGATGCCACAATCATTCCTGCAGTTACTGGAGACTCATATCAGGGTGTGTCTCTCTCTCTACCCTCAAGGAGAATAAATGACAAAAAGACATGCCTATACATGCCCTCAAAAGACCTGCAGTTTAATTTGGCTTCAAAAACACACTGAAATCCTTAAAAGAGCTTTCGGTGTAAAAATGAGAGGCCCAATAAGTTGTTTCAAAGTCTTTTCATGCTTTGAAGTATAAGAAGCCTTAAGCACAACCTATTCAAATTTCAAAAGACAAGGGGTTAATTCTTGGAAGACTATCATACAAGGGAAGCAACTGTTTGAGCAGAATTATCTCAGAACGATGGTACCATGTACAAGAATGATTGTACCATGTGGAGGGTCTGGTTTCCAGATTTGTGTTTCTAAAGACTGGAGTGCTGAAAGAAACAAAAGGCCCAAACTTACACAAACCCCACATGCTCACAGACTGGCAACTCTAATTCCCAGGCATGCTGACTCACCAGGGTTTGCTGCTCAGCTCCTGCTGCTGAGGAAGGCTCAGGTGCCCAGTGAGGTAAGAGGACTTTCTGGCATCCATCTGAGCCATCTATCCCAGGCCACTCACTGCATCACCCACTGGACAGATGCATCCTTAGAGCAGTCACCTCAGAAGCCTGGCGCCTATGCTTGCAGGTAAGAACAGATGGGGATCCCCAAGAGGCTAAAATCCCATTCAGCACCCCCGAGCCCTTCACATAAGAGCATCTTCTGATAACCTGACACAGCAGAACCAGCTTTTAATATGCCCAGCAGAGAAAAGGAGGGGAAAAGCAATGTGGCCAGATGATCACTCAGCAAGTGCCAGAAGGTCTGGTCCTTCCATTCTGATCCCTTTCTTTGAAATACCTTTACTTCAACTGCTGAGGCAAAGGGGTGGCCTCAAGTCTGAGCAAAGTATTTTCAGGTCTGATGATGACTATGGCCCCTGTTTATTCTGACTGTTGCCCAATGGATTCTACACCTACCCATTTCCCCTGAAAAGTACTTTTGCTCCTAGTACTCTCTCCAAGCCTCAAGACAATGCCGAGTCCTGTTTCCCAGAGGAAAACAGTGGCAGCAAGTTTAGGCCACTTACAGTTGAAGGTCTCCCTGAACTCACTAGTTCTTGCCTACTAGCTAATAACAGCACTTATCAATGCCTGAATACTTGATCTGGTGCCAGGCACTTCAGGGACATTAACACAAATCACTGCAACACCTCATTAAAGGCATGGCTACAGGCTCAATGTAAATTACCCAAGTTCACATAACAAACAGCTTAGTTGTATCTGGCTCAAGACACATGACTTCCCCATGGAGCTAGACTATGAAGCCCACTTCCAGCACAGTACCTTGGGAATGTAAACACAGGTAGGCTTTGAGGTCAGTGACCCCAAGTAGCACATCTTGCTCACCACAATGGGAAAGAGAACAGCACATGGCCCATGTGCAATGCTCAGTGCTCTACCCACTGTCTGCTTCCAGGGATGCCAGGCCAGTCAGCCCCGCTACTAGGATACTGTCAGGAAAGATGCCCTTGGGCTCTAGAATTAGTCTAGCTGCCCTAAACTCACTGTAATGTTCTAGTCTATCAACATAGGTTCTAAAACTCAGCTCTGCCACTGGCTTAAGTGTTTGACTCTAGAGAAAAATCTAAATTTCTAAATCTGCAAAATGGTACCTGCCTCTAGGGCAGGGAGTAGGAAGTTGTAGGGAATCAGGAAATGCAGATAAAGGGTACCTGGCACATGTTTTCCCTTAGCAGAGAAAATAAAATATGAAACATTTATTTATTGTGGCGGAACCGGGGATTGAACTCAGGCACCTGCGCTTGCCAGGGAAGTGCTTATTCCACTGAGCCATCTCCCCAGCCCCAAAACCTATTATTAATAGCACAATAATGGGCAGTTTGGTTAGCCTTTTTGGACTATCAGAACAGTGTGCTCCAGGCCTATTTCCCCAGGGCCACCCAGGACTTCTAGGCCTATTACCTTGGGCTCAGAAACTATCTTACACCACAGCACTGATCCTACTTAAAGCACCAGTGCCTGGAAACACCTATAGGAGCAGACTCTCCAAAGGACAGTATTTCCTCATAATTGATTCTGAATAAAATCAAGCTGTTATCTGGTCTGCTTGTTGAACACTTTAAATTTCTGGTCACACACATCCCTAACCTGAAGCAAGCTTTTAGCCATTCCCGATGCCTTTTCCTTTCCACTTAGTCCAGCTCTGCAGGTTTGCAAAAGACACAATTCCCAGTTTTCTGCTCTGTTACACTCTTTAATGGAAGTGTTTTCTGGATGGTCCTCTTCTCCATCACTGCAATCTCTCAGAGATGGCACCAAAATCAGCTAATTCAGAGCCTAGTTTTTAGTTTTAAGAAATAACAGCGTATCACTGAATATTAATTTATACTGTTAGTACATTATAGTAGCTATATAGTTAGCTATACAGTACAGTAACTATGAAGTAACTACAGCTTCTATAGTTACTGTGAAGAAACTACCCCAATTACAAGAGAATAAATGGGGGCATGCTAAGGTGTAAGGATTTTTTGTTTTTTTTTGTTTTTTTTTTTTTTTTGTTCCTCGAATGGCTTCAGGGCACTTTTGGCCAGCGGGAGAGTTGTGAGGTTCGAACTCCAGCAACCTGAGGCTGACAGCTTTGTGGAAGCAGCCACTTAAAGGCCTGAGCTAGGGCCATGCCCCCCATGCTAAGGTGTAGAAACCTAGCTAGGAAGGGAAAAAAAAAATAGGAGTACAGAAATTAAGCTGAGTTCAGACCAACATGGGCTGGAATCATAGGGACTGCCCCAACTAACTGTAACTATCAGCAGCTCACCCTGCTTTACCTTAACAGACTATTGGGGAGAGAAATGCTCTGCTCAAAACCAGGTTTGCACAAAGCTCTTAGTGTTTGGCTGGATAACAGTTGTCACTGCTACTATCACAAAGTTGGCGACAGAATCAAGCTTCCCTTATACAGAAAAGAGTGCTCTTTTCAGGAGCCAGCCCAGACCTGCCATAGCAATTTATTTTATTTTATTTTTTTTGCACAAAATTACCCATTTATTAAACATCACACTGGTAATCACAAAAGCAATTTAGATATGTTCACACAGTAAGTGACTCTGCTCTCCTACCTCAGGTAAGTGGCACAAATGGGTTAAATACAGCCAAGGACAAGGAGGGGCAGGAAGAAAGGAAAGAAAAAGAGTGAAGGGAAAAGAAGTCTACACACAGGGGAGCCACTTCTAAGCAGTGACAGCTCTGAGTGTTTACCTGAAAGTACTAAGAGAGTAACTCTGCTCAGGGCTCTTGGACTTCTGTTGGGCCAAGATCAGCCTATAGCCTTCCTCCATCAGTCTCAGTGCTAGCTGCCTCTGCCTCTGCCTCTGTCTCTACCTCATTCCTTCCCATCTCTGCACATCAGCCTCCAGACTACCCCCTTTTGCTCCTCAAGATATGCCTGGCTGCCTGCCTGGAGCAGGTACTGCTGGGGTCAAACGATAGGCCCAGAGACTGCATTCCCTAGGGAAGTTACAGATCTAAGGAGCAACAAAAATGCTGCTTCTCTCTCTTTTTTTCCCACAGTACCGGAGATTGAACTCAGGATCTTGTGCTTGTCAGGCAGGCACTTATGCCACTGAGCTATATTCCCAGCCCACTGCTCCTGTCTCTCAGGCAGTTTCCCAGTCTGCCTAAGAGACAGGCAAGTCTCTGATTAGGAGCTATTTTCAGCTGCTGAGACGGAACTACCTCTTACAGAACAAATCACCATGAGGACTGACTTACACTAAGATTCAGCATGAATGGAAACTGGAAAAGGAGAACTACTATGACTGAAAATAAAGAAGGACAAAGAAGAGAAACCACAATCTGTGAATGCTGGGGCTACATACTTCATGTGCCTTCACCTTCAAACCTCACACAGGCCTGAGAAAAAATGGTTACAGCTTTCATGATAGATAAGGAAATTGAGATTTCTTAACTTTCAGCAGTGGGACAGGAAAATAATACCAATGTGTCCTAATGGGAAGGTTCTATGGAGAAAGAAGATCCTATTTTAGTCCTCAAATGAACACAGGCACATAATGCAAGGAAAAAGGCCAATACAACTGGTCCGTTATTAATATACAAATAAAAATACTTTACAATCATTATATTTATTAGATTGCCATAACCATTACATGTAATTCACTGCAATTCTAAGAGGAAGATAATGTCATCTTCATTTTACAAAGGTAGGAAATGAGTAGAGTTTTAAGGGAGCAGACTGTGATCACAGAGCTAGTCTGTAAAGGAAAAGAAATTCAAAACACTCCATTCTCCATCTCTGGCTTTACCACTGCTGTCTGCTACAATGTATGCTAGAATACACCCTTGCCCTAAGGAGAGGACAGTGCCCAGGAAGAAAACTTAAGACACCTAGGTCTGTAACTTACAGCACTTATGGACACCTAGGAATATCCAAGAGGTACTGCATCAACAGGCCCAGAGTAGACTCCTGAAGCCTTTGGTTCACATCTGGAAACTATCTCCTTAACTAATGTGTGGGCTGATGCAAGTCATTTAACTTCTCAGAGTTTCTGTGACTCCAACAGTAAAGGGTCTGGATTAATCTTTTCAAGGTCTGAGGCTGAAGTTCTAAATTTGTACCTTCTGAGAACAGAAACTTTGCTTCCTTAGTGAAAGGTTCTCATGTTTTTGTTTTTTTAATTTATTTATTTGTATGTGGCCAGCTCAGTCCACCAGGGGGCGGGGCTGGTTGGGATGTGGTGCTGGGGGATTGAACCACAGTCCCTGTGCTTTGCTAAGCTTGTTCTAAGTAGGTTCTTTAGACCACTGAGCCATCTCACCAGCTCCAAGTTCTCATGCTTTTCTTGCCTATACCTATCAAAGCCAAGTCCAAAAAGACAAAACAGGGTTACTTCAATCTGAACAAGGGTATGAGATAACACAGACTTTGCAGCCTCCCTTTTCCTTAAAACTTTTCAGTTTGCTCTCTGCAGGAACAGCAATAGGACCTGACATGCAAGCTGGCTCTCTGGTGCCACTGGCTGGGTAAGGGAAGCCTGCTCTGTGGAATGCTATGAGGGCTATTCAGGGGGAGCCTGACACCCAAGGAAGAGCCTTTAAAACAAGAAGCTAAAAAAACAGGAAGTAAATGCTGGTACCAGAAAATGGTGTCAGCAAGACACTTGATACTTTCTTTGACAGAAGAGACCATCCCTCCAATCTAGAACCTATTCAGTAGCAAGAAGCCACTGATAGCTGCCAGTGTGTTGTGTTTTTCCATCAAATGATAATCTATACCAGTGGTGGCAACCCTATGGCATGCATGCTCAGCAGGCTGTTTCTCTCATGAAAGCTCTAAAAGATCTGCCATTACTGACTATATCATCCATGCGTGTATAAATATACTCCATGACATTCGTAGAACAGCAAAATCACCGGACATGTTTCTCAGACCACATTCCCATCATTGAATGACACTTGACTCTGTGCTACTGAGAATGTATATTTGGTTGAGGCCTGAGGACGGAAGCCAGCCATTCTGAGCTGGCTACCCTAAATATTATTTGTCAAATACAGGTAAACCAACACATACTATTATAAAGGTTTTAAACATCAAATGATTTAGAATGTTTGGTCTCTGGGCATCCAAATTGAGCTATATATTGTTTTTGGGGTTTTCTAAGAGAATAAAAATATAGATAAAACCTTATTGAGCTACATATCTACATGACTCAACATAAAACAAAAAATGTGCTGTATCATTTCACTTACCCACAACTCAAAACATTTTTTTTTTTTTTTTGATGCCACTATTATTCTGAGCAAGACTGAATACTCACCTATGTACAAGGTGGGCATCACTGAGGGACATCACAAGTCTCAGAACACCTGATTATCTTGGCCTAGCTTTCTCAATGACTTTCCTGTTTAAAACTACAGAACCATCTTGGATTTGTGCTCTGTAATATGGTAATAAAAATGGCATGCCTGCTAAACTCATCTCTGATTCTCTTCTATGTTTATAGTTAGTTTTCTTTGTGATGGTGCCCATTAGATCCCACTGAAGGAGAACTTCTGATTAGGTACTAATTTGCTGCTTCTAGGTGACATGTGGATGTTTGCTATCCCGGAAGTTTACCTGATTGTTCACAGCTGATTAGTCCTCAAACACCCAATTACTACATCAACCGTTCAATTTCAGTCACCTTCTGAGGAGTTTAGCAGTTGGCAACTGACAAAAAGAGTTAAGATTAGATTTTTGTATTTAAGTGACACCCAAGAAAGGAAATTGTGAAACGAATCAAAAAGTGAGGAAGGACCCTTACACAAAGATGACAAGTAACTGCCTGCAAATGTCCTAAAGGGGTACCTGAATGACCACAGATGTACAGATGTAGTTTCGAGAGCCATGGCTCTAAGTAGGCCTCAACTTCATCACACAGCAACTAATCAATTTCTTAATGTTTTCTAATTCTTAGGGAAAAAACTAACTCCATTAAGACCACATTTATCAGCTTCTTCCTAGAGGCCTAAGATGCAGGCTGGCTGCTAATGCACAGCAGACAGGAAGAGGATCAGAAAGGATCCGTACAATAAAATAATTCTTGCTTTCAATCGTTACCAGTAACCTGGTTAGAAGAGTGACTAAGGCTTTCTTTGCTGCTGCCAGACTAAAAAGTATTACATAGTTATTCTGTGAAGTTTAAAAAACAGAGTAGCATAAATTTAAGAAGTCAATGAATAATTCTCCCACTAAATACTTTAGAAAACATCTTCTTGGGCTTTTATATAAGCACATACAGATAGCACACATAAATAGACACATACATATACACATTATGCACAACAAACTTAAGTAAAATGGAAATTATATTGTATATCCTATTGTGTACCCTTTCTACTCATCATTTTTAATAAAAATCTTCCCCTCATGGTTTTAAAAGAGCAGCAATTAAACAATAATACTGGATTACCACTAAGGCTCCAAATATCCATGTAATCCATAGACAGTTCTTATTTTTCTTTATTTTTTGTACCAGGAATCAGGATTTTTTTTTTTTTTTTTTTTTTCTCCGAATGACTTCAGGGCAGTTTTGGCTGGCTTGAGTTGTGGGGATCGAACTACAGCAACCTGAGGCTGACAGCTTTGTGGAAGAAGCCACTTAAAGAACTGAGCTAGGGCCAGGTCCCCATGTACCAGAAATCAAACTAAGGACCTCACACTTCCCAGACAGGCACTGTGCCACTGAGCTATATTCCTGGTCTGTGGACAGCCATCCAAAGCTTGGCCTTTGACAAAGTCATGTCAATTTTGGAGAATCTGCAAAGCAGAACTTCATATGGATATGTCTCCACAATCCCTCTGGGAATCGTTAGGTTTATGATTCACATAAAAGACAGCACAATGACCTAGGGTTTTTCTCTAAACTTGATGTGACTTTGTCAGAGGCCAAGCTTTGGAAGGCTCTCCACACTGACCAACGCATAGACTATTTATACTCTTCTCTTCAACCTGTCAAAAATCTAGTACTGCACTCCAGAGGGGTCCCTAGCCAGAGACTGAGAGACTGCATTAAAACATTTTTAATAGCCAGGTAAATCTAATCTCTCACTGTTGGAAATTTAGCTTGTTTCTAACAGCTCATTATTATAATGGAATAGAACATGCCACTAAAATTCATCCCACAATTTGAGAATTTCAGAAAACAACAAAGAAGATACAAAAAAATATATATATGGATATATATATATATATATATATATATATAATCAATGACTTATAAAAAAGAAGTCAATTTATTCAAATAGCACCTGTCAAAGTGCATATTTCTCTTAAATTTTGTAATATTTGTCAAAAAATTAAAATTTCCTTTAAAAAATCTTTACCAAAAGCACCCTAGACTTTATATTTAAGGAAAAATATACTACCAAAAGAAGACAGAAGACAGATTTTAAGAAGGGATGGGATGGAAGAGGATGCAGAAAAGAGGTTAATCATAAGAGAGGAGGATATGGGAGAGGAGGAGAAGGAGGGAGGTGAGGAAAGAGAAAAAAGGAAAAAGAAAGGAAGGAAGGATGTCCATCTAAGATCTAGTGAATAATCATCCTCTTACTAAGTTTAGCATCAGGCATAGAAGGGTCTAGCCCATACCACTGATGGAAAGGCTTTTTTGTGTGTGTGCTGGGGATTGAACTCAGGACCTTACACTTGCCAGGAAAGTGCTATACCACTGAGCTATCTCCCTAGCCAGAAAGCCTTTTAGAGCTTCCAAGCATATAAACTGCCCACTGCAGCACACATGGCATAGGGTTGCTACCACTCAAGAGTCAAACACATTACCAAGGAACAATGAACAAGCAACAAGCAGCTTGGTCAAAGGGCAGCCTGGAACCCTGGAAATGGTTAATGGATTTAGTCCACAGACTTCTCATATGGGCTTTCAAGCTACAGACTGGATCAAAGGGCATTCCTAAGTGCAGTGAAGACACGTACATCCCTGGCATCCAGGTTCTTGATCTGGTTACCAGTTTTCACTAGTGCGTCCCGCTTCATCACTCCTGGCTACAAGGCTGATGGGATTTATAATGCAACCCTTGACTCAGGTCCACCAAAGCCTCATTTGCCTTCACTTCAATGATACATCAAGGATATGCAAACCAGTCAGAGTGAATCTCAGCATTATTATCATCCTACCAAAGTAATAATGTCAGGGGTGAGTGAAGATGAAATAAATCCTCCTTACCAGATAAGTCTCGGCTCTACTGTATTTTAGAACTCAAGAACAAAACCCCTAAGTGGAAAGCAGCACTAAAAGACAAAAAGAAACTGAGTTTTGAAGGTATTATTTGTACCCTGTATCCAACTGTATCTGGGATAAAGAAACAAGCCTGAACTTCAAAAATATGTAAGCCAATAAATTCCTTTTTTTGTAAATCAAATTTTAAGAAAATAATTTATTGAAATGAGTATTCTTTTCCTATTAAAATATGTATAGTGGGGCTGGAGAGATGGCTCAGTGGTCTAAAGCACCTACTTAGAACAAGCTTGGCAAAGCATTGGGGACCGCGGTTCAATCCCCCAGCACC